ATAAGTGCGACATGCTATATATAAACAGATCACACACACTTGCTTAAAGTGGGATAATTACATAATTATACAGAATGAATTACACAATATTATTTTGAATCTGTCTGCTGTGTAATTAATAAACTGTTAAGTAAAGCTTACTGTGAGTGAACTTACTAGTTTTTGTATTTTACAAAATACTCCTCGTCTTCGACCACCACTCCTGGAGAAACCTGGAAAGAGATTATAATGAACATCTTAGAATTACAAATGAAATATTTTACTTGGCTAATAGCTGTTTTATTACGCTATTTTGAAAAATAAAGGTATGTCATTAAGGACCAAAGTAGTACCAGGGTTGATACACTTTTTCACCGATGATTTTCAATGACTTCTCCATGACCAAAACAATTACTCTTTCTCAGCGGTACCACTGAAAATGGGTTATTTTAACATGGAACAGGAAAATAAGCAAAATACCGCGACAGTTAAATGCCATTTTACGTTTCATTACTATACGATACAGTATGTATTATCATTATAGTATTACTATTTCGGAGATTAGATAAAATATAAATTATATTTGATGCAACTTTAGTTACATTTCCATGACTTTTCCTAAACTTTTGGAAAAATATTGTTTTCCAAAACTTTCCCAGGGCCTGCAATTAGCATTTTGAATTTCCATGACTTTTCCAGGTTTTTAATGACCGTAAGAACCCTGAGTATTGATTTTCCTTCCTCCTTATCTTGCATTTCCCCATAACGATGTTGCTTAGCAACCGGCGTAAACGGACCTCCGCGCGCTATCAAGCAGTGAGCGTGCGATGTCCTGTTCAGATGACGTCAAATCCAACGGGATGCCATAAATAAACTACACAGAACCACACTACACACCTACGCAATTATTACATTCAGGCAGACTGTAGAATACAACCTCTTTGGACAATTTACGGTATATACTTATTGAAAACAAGCTACAAAATGTAATATCTTGGAAAATGCCATTTAATACTTTTTAATAGCCTTAATTTTCGCTAAATTGATTTATCAACTTTTAATACTTTTTAAGACCCCGCGGACACCCTGCGAAAATATATAAATGAATGTATTGTGCTATAAACACTACATATTCACTGTGGTTTCATAAAACCACATTCTAAATGAGAGGCAGATGTGCGTGTAAAACAGGAAATAGCTTTATGTCATGACAACCAACGATGGTATATTACTATATTAACACAGCTGAGGATACCTGGAAGAAGCGCTTTTTTTCCGCTGGGTTTTTGAGCAGGTTCTGCACCAGCACCATGAAGTTCGTTTGGGATTTCTCCACCTCTGGGTCCTTCTGTAACACAGGACATACCGTCACTCAGGTTGAATGGACACACACGCTGTATGTTTAAACGCGTCCACGACTGCATGATTTCTCAGGGAACAGAAAAAGTAATTTCTTACCGCTAACACTTTCAACTTATTTATGAGCGTTTGAATGGCTTTAGAATCCGGTGGGCCGTCCTTTTGAAGCAAATCCAAAATGATCTACGGGACAGGAAGAGACACTGATTATTAAAAGTGAAAGCGTAAATCAAAACCTGAGTAAAACAAACCTCATAAGAACTGAAATAGACTTCCTCGTAGGTCTCAAGTATTCAGGACATTCACTGCAGTAAAAAATAGACACAATAAATAAGCCTACATCAAAGATACAGGGATATAAGCTATAACTTTAAACACACGTTTTGTTCTTGATGCATGTAATAGGAAATATACGGAGTTCATCCTAGGATACAAGGACAGATATAGGAACACAAGCTTTTCTACATTTGTACAACAGCTACTTTGCACAATTGTAATGTATTCATAATGTAATGTCTTACGTATGAATGTATTTTCTTAAAAGGTCCCATGTCATGGCCATTTCTACTGATCATAATTCCATTGTTGAGGTCTACTAGAATAGATTTACATTGTTCAATTTTCCAAACTCACATTGGTTTCTCATACATCATCTCTGTAGTATGTGTATTCACTCTCTGTCCTACGCGGTTTGTTGGAGCTCCTGCCCCCCCCCCTCCCCATGAGCCCAGTGTGCTCTGTCCACCACCGTCACAGCGGAACATCAGTGATTATGTGTTACCATGGCGTTAGAAACCAGGAAATGACCCCAGTAATGACAAACAGATGAGAATGCTGCGTGGGGTCTGGGTGCCGTGTTGGCGCGACGTTTGGGCGCTGGCTGCTGGAGTGAAGGGAGTGGCTCGGCCGGAGGCCAGACAGCTGATCGGAATCAGGTAATCAGTGCCGGAATAAAAGCATGTCGTACTCGTAACCTGGTTCTGGCCTGTTTTGCAGTAGGCGGGATCCTGGAAGGTCGCCAAAGGACCTGTGAAGGTTCCCACCCGGGCAACGTTTGAGACCCGCGTATATTTTTGTTTGGAGTTAATAAACGCCTGTGTTCAACCAACCTGCTCTTTCCGTCCCTATTTGAACCCTGTGTGAGCGGAGAGGCTCACAGTGTGCTTTGAGGGTTTGTGACTCTGCAGACCGTTTACATGCAGACAAACCTTCATAACACACAAGGGGACGGGTAATAACCAGAAAAGCCTTTAAGAAACAGCATCAAAAGCTCAGTGTGATGGAGGTACTGTATTTTGCAAATAAATCCACCATTTTGACAAATGCTGTATTCTGCTGTTGTAACACATTGTACAACGTGCTATGTATTTCATATGGTCATGTCAATTAAAAGCATTACAAACTCACCTGTTCACCATGGCCTTTGACCCCTAACCCATCACAGCCCCCCTGCTTCCACTCCTACTGCTATTAAATTACATTTGTATTTACTTTATTATTTGCCCCTTCTGATTGTTTGTTTGTTCCCCATGTAAAGCGGCCTTGGGTCCCTTGATAGAAATGTCATCTATTATTATTATTATTATTATTAAAGCTCCTTTGAATTTGATATTCGCTCACCCTCGCTCTCAGCCCCAGGACGAGCTGCGCCGTCTGCTTGAAGCTGATGAGGTCGGGGACAGTTTGCGTCACCATGGTAACAAACTCCTCCACTTTCGCGTACTGCTTGACGTTTCTCTGCCGGATGACCTGCCAGATGTACGAGTAGGTGAGCTGCAGGGGGGAGGCCATGAGGCGGAGGGAGGAGAGGGGGAGGGCACCTGTGAACAGAAGAAGAGGGAGTTAGTCAAAGAAAACTTTATTGACAATCTTTCAGTTTGTGAGAAGAGTAGAACGAAGCGGTATAAAAACTGTTTTATCCCAGCAGCTATTGCACAACTTAACAAATCATAGGAGCGTCACACAGATGCCTATTTAGTTAATTATGTTTGTACTAGTGTTTTTCTTTTAAAATATTTTGAGAATTGACGGAGCAGGGTCTACTTGTATTAGTTATTTTGTTAGAGATGTGTCTGTGTTTGTTTTTAGTGGGTTTTTATCTGCAAACTAAATCTACCTACGGGTACAAATAAAGAACCTGAACCTTGTGTGTACAGACAGAGAGATCGAAATACCGTTTCGAACAATCCCAAATACAAAAAATACAAATATATGTATGCAAATATGTATATACCTATATATACACAATCAAAGACACATATACACACATTAAGACCTAAATAAAAGCACAACAATCAATATATACAAAAATAACAGTAAGGAAGATTTCTGTCAGAGAAACAGAAAGCAAGTTTCCTTTGTTTTGGTCTATTGACAGAGAAGTAATCGCTCTATCGATAAATAAAGTATCTTAACTACGTAACTATTCATTCATGATTGACAGGAAAGGCTGTTTTCAGCTTCTTAAATATAGCGTATTTTCTCAGTTCCTATTAAACTGGATATCTTCTGGTTTTGGACGGACAAAAGCAGACAGCTGAAGACACCACTTTGGATTTTGAGAAATTAGGATAGACATTTCCATAGACTAAACAATTATCACAAAATGATCTGCATGTTAATCAATAAAAAGGAATGATAGCTATTATAATACATATCAAAATGATAACAATAGGGCTTCCACTTGGAGCAGGGCCGCCGCTTGCGGACAGGCAACTGCTTCGGGCCCCGGACCAGAAGGGGCCCCCCAAAGAACGTAGATGAAGAAGGCCCACACAGGGCCGTATCCAGGATTTCCTAAATACCGAGGTCCAAACATGCTAGGGGGGTTCGGGGGTATACCCCCCCCGAGATTTCTGGAATTGTCATGATCTAGTTAGGTGCTTTTTAAGTCCTGTGGGGGGTCACAAATTGGATAATATATCGATTTCAAACCATGTCAGTGGGCTGCAGCATACATTATTTTGAACATCCATTATCTCCCTTTCAAATGTGGGTTTTCTTGACCTTTGTGCTGACCCCCACCATAGATCCACTGGCCCTTCAGCATTGAATTCTTGGATTGGC